CTGCGGCTGCATGTGCGGCTCCCCTGCACCGCAGCCACGGTCCTGCCACGGGGACAGGGACCCAGGGAGGGACAGCACTGTGTGCACGCCCACGGCCCAGCGCACGGGCACACACACCCAGGGGCGCACACCCTGCGGTGCACCCATGCACACGCGAGCATCTCTGCAGAGCGGTGCTGCACACTCACACACACACCCCCGGGGACACCCCTGCAGATGTGCACAGCCACCTCCAGATGCGCAGGCACACAACCCTGCGGATGCACACGTCCGCCCCTCTGACGTGTGCACTCATCCCCTGGAGACATGCACATCCACTGCCAGATGTGCACGTAAACAAACCCCTGCAGATGTGCACGTCCAGTCGCAGATGTGCACGTAAACAAATCCTGCACATGTGCCCATCCACCCACCGCCGCCCCATGTGCAGACAAACACCCCGCTGCAGATGCAAACCTCCACCTCTGAGAAGTGTGCAAACACCCCCTCCGAGTGCACACGTCCACTCCCAGGTGTGCACGTAAACAACCCCCTGCAGATGTGCACGTCCACATCCAGATGTGCACGTGCACAACGCACAGCCCTGCAGATGCGTGCCCGACAGAGGCCAGTGTGCAAGTGCGGATCCTACCTGCCGCTGCCACCGCTCGCCAAGCCGGGCTCGCGCGCCAGCTCAGCACACAGGAGCAGCTCCCCAGGACTTCTCCTTTTCGTGTTTGCCCTTTCCCTCCATCCTGCGGTTTATCCACCTGGTACTTGCCAGCACTGGAGAGTCAGGCTTTATACCTTTCTGTATTTTGCTTTACTTATGCGAGGATAGCAAGAGCAGTTTCTGCCTGCTGATAGTATCCCAGAAAAGGGAGCGCGTTTGCCGAGCTGCAGACAAATATGTCATCAAAAAATGACTCAGATGGGAGATGCTGGGGCTTAGCCTAATGTCAGATTTAGGTCGGCATATAAACTCCCGTCGGCCTGAGTTACAGCCAAGTTAGGTTGCTCAAATGCCAAACACCCACGCAAAGCCCCAACCTACGGAAACGGCAGGCTGGGGGCAGCTCTCGGAGCAGCTCGCAGCGCCGCCGCCGGGCGCCAGCCC